GCTTAACTGAAACCATGGCTCAAGGTAGAAGGATGTGGTTTGAGGGTATCATCCCAGAATGAACTAATGGGTTCCTTTGTTCCTGATTTTTGTCCCTGTGCATGTGGTTTTCCAGACTGTGGTCCTGTAACATCACCAGCGAAGGCTGCCGCCATCTCTCAAAGATGCTCAGCCAGGCATTGAGTCTAGAGCACTTGGATCTGGGGCAGAATTGTATCAGAACCCCAGGTACAAGGTTTCTGTGTGAAGCATTGAAGGAACCCCAGAGTAACTTGAAAAGTCTGTGGTGAGTCATGTCTTGTTGAACTGTAATCTGTACCTCAAAGGAGTTCTCAAGTGTAGCAGATGCCTTCAGGAGCAATACAGAGAACTTGAGTCAAGTCAGTTGAGTATTGTATCACATTTTTAGTCTGTGTGTCTTATGGTTGGGACACAGAGATCAAAAGGACAGCATGAAGGGGTTGGTTCTCTTCTCACCATGTGGGATCTTGAGTTCGAATCCAGAACATCAGGCTTAGCAGCAAGGGCCTTAACCACAGATCTCTCTCTCCACCCCAAGTTGAGTATTTTTTTAATCACCTGGCAAGGGGATGGAGAAATAATAACTCTGCAGTTAAGATTACTTGCTGCTCTTGCAGAGAACTCATTTCATTCCCAAGCCTACATCTTGGTGGCTCCAAACCACCCAGCCCACTTCCATTGTGTGTGTGTGTGTGTGTGTGTGTGTGTGTGTGTGTGTGTGTGTGTGTCTGTCTGTCTGTCTGTCTGTCTGTGTCCCCATACTGGTGAGTTTAACCAGGGCTGGCCATAGATAAGATGTCCATGCTCCTGTAAGTAACTCCTTACTAGTTGTTGCATCACTGAAGAAAATGTTATCTCCCTTCCCCAGAAACCAAGAAATGCCTCTAAATTCCCAGGAGGTAGGGGAGGCATCAGTACTTCTAAGAGTCCATCATGATTGCAATGTAGGCTGGTGAGAACCCTGAATTGTCATCTTCAGGATTATAGGGAGGGAACCAGCAGCCACTGTGTGATTTGTGGCACAAACCTGCTGGCAGAAGAATGGTGGCATCAGTGGTTGACAGCCCTCTGGGGAATAGGTGTGTAGCTCAGTGGTTAGTGCTTGCCTAGCATAGCTGTGGCTCTGGATTCCATAAAAATACCCTGTTGGCATACCAGCAGAAATGAATACTTACCCATCTGCTGTGTGGCACTATTCCTGGGGAGATGGGAACCAACGTCTAATCATGAAAGGTAAGGAACCGATAACAGACCAAAGTGAGGACACCATCAAAGGCCAACTCGGTGAACCAGCGGGTTTATTGGGGTCACTTACAGGAATATAGGTGAGGGGTTATTTGCAGAAGCAGAAATGACTCAAAAACAGCCACATCCTAGCAGGGGAAGAAGCTCAAGAAAGCTAGAGACATGAAGCATGCTGCAAACCTGCATAGGTGGTACAAGTTGGAGGATGTCTCTTCCAGGCAGCTCAGCAGGTCTGAGGGTGTCTCTAGCAGCTCTTACTGCTAATATATGCATAGGGAGGGGAGAGGGCCTAGCATATCTGTCAGTTCCAGGGGCTCCCTAAAGCTTTGAGCTTTATTTCTGAGTTTAAGGAACTTCAGGATGAAATCATTCACCACCCCTCTCAAAGCATCCTGCTTCACCTCTTTGCTAACATCCTGTGTTTATGAACTTCCCTCTAAGACAAGATTTTTATCTTTGAGGAAACTGCTACACATCAGTCAGCCCTAACTCCTTTGTGCATCATCTCACTCATGCATTCTAGGAAATAAGATGAGGTCTGTCTGCTATAAACATGGCTATCACAATAAAGAAAAAAAATATCATTGTCAAACACCTGCCAAGCCATGAGCTCAGTGCTTGCTATGTGGAGCCCATTCGACATCATGGATTAAACTTAGCCCATGGCCTGAGCTAGTGTCCTATACAGGTAACACTGTGTGTATGCCCACGTATGCACACATCACTTGATCATTTCTGTGGTACCTTGTCTCTGTCTCCTGCACAGTTGACAACTCCAGATGGAGGAATGCTTTTTCCTGTATTGAACATACCCATTTTCCTGCTTTCTTGGAGTTCATTGAGGTCTTTGTCCAAAATGGAATTGATCTTTCTCCCCTACCTAAACTCTTCAGTATAAACTATCCCTCCGAACAGATCATTTCCTCGCTTTGTGTGATATCCTCTCTCCATTCCTCTTTTAGAGTCCAGTCTATTCTGAAACCTTGGCACTCTCTTCCAGTTATCTAGAATTCGAGCATAGCAACATCTAGGAGCTTGTGTTGATTTCACAAGGCTGCATTCTGACCTCTTCATTTCCTGTGGGTATTCTTCTTAAACTTTAATTTTTTTTTAACTACACTTCTCTGTTTTGTGGGGAAGGGAGCCATAACACAAGTGTGAAGGTCAGAGGACAACAAATGGGAACTGGTCCTCTCCTTCTACCTTGTGGATCCTAAGGATCAAATGCAGGTCATCAGGCCTGACCTTTATCCACCAATCCATCTCACCAGCCCTCCCCCACCTGTATCCCAAGCTAGCTTCAAATTCACTATGTTTCAGAAAATAACTTTTAACTTCTGATACTCTGAAGTGCAGGGACCACTGGCATACACCACCATGCCCAGTCTAATGTGGTACTGGTGATCAAACTTGGAGCCTTGTTCATTCTACCAACTGAGCTAAAACTCCAGTCCTGTTGAATAACTTTTATGGTCACTTTTATATCACTCACATCATCCCTCTGCTCAAAGCCATCAGTGGCTTCTGTCTCGGTCCAAGCAAAATCTGGCTGGGATCTGAGCATCTTCTGTGGGCTGGCCTCTGCCTATGACCTCCTCTTCTACGGCCTTCTCTGGGTCACTGATGCTGCCTGTCTTGATTCTATGCTTTGTATACATCATGTACATATTTTGCTCTATTATGCTCTGCTTTGTTACCTTGATCTGCCCTGACTTCTCTGCTTGCTTTATGGGGTCTCACTGTGTACCCTAGGCTTGCATCAATCTATCCAACCTACTGTCTTGGCCTTCCAAATGGTGTGTGATTATACACATGTACAACGTGCTCAGTTTGATACTGTTTTCACACATGTATCACTAAGCCAACATTAGGCCTTTTCCCTGTCCTGGAGATCTGCTAATCCTAACTGTTACAATTCTTTATTTATTTATTATGTATACAGCATGTATGACTGCATGCCAGAAGAGGGCACCAGATCTCATTACAGTTGGTTGTGAGCCACCATGTGGTTGCTGAGAATTGAACTCAGGACGTCTGGAAGAGCAGTCAGTGCTCCCAACCTCTGAGCCATCTCTCTAGCCCCTAACTGCTACAATTCTTTCTCTTCACTCTCTCATACCATCCACAGCCCTTGATCTGGCATCCCCAGATACTCCCTTCTTTCCTCTCATAATCTTTCCTTGTAAATGTTATACTACAGAGTACACTATTTTGTTGCCCTGAGGGCAGAAGCTTTT